AGCTATTAATCTAGGGATAGGATCTAAGGGATTAAAGGTTAAGCCTTCTAATCTAGAATTATAGTAAAGAGATAGTTAAGTACTTAAAGAGGAAGTATCCTTATAGTTAAGTAGTCTAAATCTCTACTAATTAATCTAAATAGTAGTTCTACTATTAAAAGAATATTTTTTAATATAATTTATACTATAATAATTACTTATATATACTCTATATATTTAAACTAACTTTTTACTTAAGAAGTAGACTAACTATAGATTAGGAGGAAGCTACTATTATATCCTTTTCCTTATAAATATCTATTCTATTCTCTACTATACTCTCTAGATAGTATAATTATTTATTTATTTATTAATCCTTCTAGTTATAGTAATTAATAAATAATCTATTAATTACTTTATAGGTTATATAACCTTATATTCTATTCTAGTACTAGTGTGTCTAATTTACTCTAACTTACTTAGCCCTACCTATATATCTTATATATTTATAATATAAAAACAGTAGTATAGAAGATTAATATTATAGTGAATAATAGGGTTATTATAGTTAGTGTTTTTAATAGCTATAGAGTAGAATAGTACATTAGTAAAATCTCTACTATAAACGCTAATAAAATGTACTTTCCTAACTCACTCGCCTATAAACAGGAAAACTTAAGATTAGGGTATAAAATGGGCGTGACTTTTGTCCCCCACTGTAGTATAGCGGCCCACTATAGAAGCAAGGTGATAGAGACTCGGCTCCGCTGCTGTGGGGAACAAAGCTTCGGAAGTTTAGCCCGGCAGAATGTTTTTCCGAAGGTGGGGCCTATACTGAAAATATGCTGTGGGTTAGAGTTTTTTTTCTACGGGTGGTCATTTGTCACAGTGTAAGCCCCACCTTCGGAAAAACACTCTGCTAGGCTAAACTCGGTCAGGTCAACTCTGTGGAGCTCGGTCAGGTTATCTCCGACCTCAGAAAAGTTAGTAGGTCGCGAAATTCTAAATCCGCGCCCGGGTACGAGTTCGCCATTTAAAATGAACAATGTAACATTAACAAGCTTAACAAGCTAAAGGCTACATAGTCAACAGGCCACCGAAGCGACGCTATGTAGCGCTCATATAAATCGACTAATGAATTACAATGGATCATGCTAAATCTAGGAGGAGCACCGCAGGAACGCAGCAAACAACCAAGCGCTGTCAGGTTCTCCGAGCATGCCAGCGATGCAAGTCTCTCAGACGGGGCTGTGATGAGCACCGTCCCTGTCAGAGGTGCGTCCGTGCTGGTTTGCAAGAGCAATGCCTTATGTCGTCTGCGCCTCCGTGGGATCCAAGTATTCTTCACGAGACCGCGATTGTTCAGAGAAGAGTTGGCCAGCTCGCTCAGAGCCCAATTGTTGACAAATGCACGCAATTGTTCTTCGAGCTGTTTTACCCAACAGTTCCAATTCTTACGCTGGAATTTGTCGATAGCTTGAAGGTCGCAGCTGCGTCACCTCAACAAGAGCGAGATCTCGAGGCCTGCAGCGTACTGGTGGCAGTTTGTGCTCACGTCCTCCTTCACGTTGACTTGACTGGTAACGCGTTGCCCTCAAGCCCGACGATGCTACCCGATGACACAGTAATTACTGGAGGAGCGCTACTGGATGCAGTGTTGGAAGCACATCGAACAGTACACTGGCACTCGGCGCCTTCGTTTCAACGCTGCCTCATCGTCTTCTTTTTGTACACCTGTCAAGTCAGACTTGCCCACCACAGCCAGGCATTTCTGCTTATTAGAGAAGCAACAAGTCTTTGGTCTCTTTTGGACGACCAGAGACAGAGGGATGATAATCCTGCGGAACCCCTTCTCGACAGACTTTTCTGGGTCCTTCTCATCTCAGAACGATCTCATGCCATCCGATATGACCGTTCTATTACGTTGCATATCACATCCCGATCGCCAAAAATAGATGTCCACAATACATCTCTGACGGGGTTTATGTGTTTAGCAGGTCTTTTTCGGCCAATCGGTTCATCTTTTATCGCTATCAAGAACGGTGAGGTGGACATGTCAGCTGCATCACCGCAGTTGCTCGACGACGCTGAGCGAGCTATTCATGTGGCCATGCCGCAACGTGCAGTGCTCATAGATGTTCAAAAAGCCAACTTGCGCATCACTAATCTTTGGCTGCGAGTCATAATTTGGCAGCTTCGCCTTAGGCTTGGGTATTTATCCGAAACATCCATGCATCACAACCATACTTATCGCTACCCGCTTGAAATTGGGAAGGAACTCATGCTTTCTACCCGCGATTTACAAATTGGATCGATGCACGTTCATGGCATTGGCCTCACAGAAAAGCTATTTGACATTGCTTCGGCCGTTGTTGATGTCTTTGCTCGCATTCCCCTCGCACCATCCGCCTCTGACTCGGCAACGACGCAAGGGCTGCCAGAGGGCGGATTTCTGTACATTCGGCACTTGATTTCGCAGCTACCAGGAGGTAGCGCTGTGTACAACGAGCTACTGGAAAAACACATGCACCAAGCTCTACCTGGCGCAGTACTGCAGGAGTTCTTTGTACCATATACGCCATCATGAGTAGAGCCTAAGACGATTTATTGAAATACATATGACAGCTAAATGATAACGCGCTATTTCTTACTATTCACATACATCTAAACACAAACAGCCTTTCCACTTAGATCTTTTCTTCGATATGCACAGCTGTCTCCTCCTTGCCGCTGAGATCATTGGAGTACGGGTCTACCTGAGTGGATGCAAACTTCCTGGCTGGTACGCGTTGCTCGAACAGGGTATCCAGCTCTGCATATGTGCGACCCTTTGGCTCTGGAAGCCGGAAGAACACCCAAACAACAGACAGAAGACAGCTTCCCGCCCAGAAGAACGCAGCACGAGCCCCCCAGTTCCATGCAGTGGATGAGAGCTGGTAGTTAGTCATGACATTGACGAAAATGTTGCTTGCGTTATATGCAGCGCGAGCCAAGACAATAGTCTTTGCCTTGAGTCGAGTAGATGACAGTTCGGAGATCAAGGAGTATGTGACTGGCCCGACGGTGAAGTCATAGACAAATGTGAAGACGACCAGTAGCGCTCCAATGGCCCATACGGCGTTGTTGTCCTTGGAAAATGACAGAGAGCCAATAATGAATAAAAGCAAGCATTGGCAGCATAATCCGCCGAAGTGGATCTTCCTCCTTCCCACTCTGGTCATGAGAATCCATGATCCAGCTGTGCCAACCATGCCGAGCGCGTACTGACCCATGGAAAGCGAAAATGCGTTCTTTGGGTCCATTCCAGCTTGGGTCATAAAGTACGAGAAGTAGCCCATGATGTTTTGGCCTCCAAGTGTTTGAATAAGCCAAATACCAACCACAATCTCAGTTCGTCGAAGGTCGATACCATTGAAGCAGTCTGTGTAGCGAACGCCCTCCTTGACTAGTCTCTCTGACTCATTCGTGTGCTCGATCATGGCAATAGTTTCATCGGGTTTAAAGCCAGGCTGGTTTGGTGAAGTGAGGTGAAGCAGCGACTTTTTGGCAGCAACCCTGTCGCCCTTCCGCATGTGCCACCACGGAGACCTACAAAGGAGGTTAGCTTATTGCCAGCATGTGCAAGAAAATATTTACTCTGGAGCAAAAAGGACACCGAAGAGAATGGGTATCGGCCACACCCACTGCACAGCAAAGGGAATGCGATATGCCCACTCGTCATGACGGTTGGATGAACCCTTGTTGACTGCGACGGCAAAGAACTGGCCGATAACCCAACACATATTAATTAAGGTGGTAAGGTACGGTCGAAGTACAACAGGAGCGACTTCAGAAGCATATGCCGGGGTTACACTCTGGAATGCACCCCAGGGAATACCTAGGTCGGTCAGTGTGTGCTCTTTTTCTGGCATTGCATGTTTGCAAGGCTGGGACTCACCACAGAGAATCTCGCCAACAACCAAGACTTTTATATTGGGCGCAAAGACCAGGACGAATGTAAAGATAATCATCATGACTAGGAATCCAGCCGTTGTTTTCTTATATCCGTAACGATCAGCTGCCCAACCGGCGAGCAGAAGGCCGAAAATCTCTCCAGCCCGAGCACCGTTTGATAGGCCAGACTGCCATGCAGCGGAAATGACATATTTCCCTTTGGAGGCATTGTATGTTCCATACTTATTGTTGAAGGCCGGTGAGGCATACAAGTTGCCCAAGAGAGCAAGATCGTAGCCTTCCATGATAAGAGTAGACGACAACAGGGCAGACCAGCCAATTGCCTTGGGGTATGTCTTGATGGCTTGCAGCAAGCCCATCTTGTGCTCTGCAGTGGCACCATAGTGAGCCTCAATAGCGAGAGCCTGAGTCTTCAGGGAGTCATCATGATCATGGGTATCATGATGTGTTATCGGCGAAACTTGATCGGCCACACCCATAGTGGTGACTTCAGGGCCAGTCGAGGGAGCAGAAAATAGAAGAAATAGAAGAATGCTGGTGACGGGAGAAGAGGTTGTACGAGGAGTTGTAGAATGGGAGGCGAATCCCTCTTTAATATGTCAATGAAGACGTTCTTTTGTTAGTCTAGCTTGTACCCCATGACTAGCTTAACCGACTGCTAGGGCAGCTTGTGGGGAAAGTTGGCAGCATCGGAGGCATGTTTCGCAGGGAATATCTGGAGAAAGGCAAATTCTCGCATATGACGAACCAGACTCGACCCGCTTGCCCCCGCCGCCCAGCATATGTTTTGGCATGAGCCGTGGAGGCTGCTCAGAGAAAAGACGACTACCAGACGAAGAAGTAGGCGGAGACTAGCGGAGTTGCACCACACGCTGCGGAGTCTCCGTCACGACACTCAATACTTGGGCAGGTTAGGTCCAGCTACTAGCGCTTCAAATGTCTCGGCAAAACCATGTATTGCCATTCTGCCACTATTTTCCCACCGTATAATCGTCGTTGCATTCGTAGTGTCTCGTAATTATTCCCCCAAATGATCCTGTGCCCAACAATTTCAATGGTGCCCAACAACTTCACTGGGGAATTCAATATGGCGCCACAATTGAACGAGGAGAACAGCCATTTCCGCTAGTCGGAGTCGGCTTTTACTGCTTGATCAGTCCTCCCACCTCCTCTAACCACCTCTGTTTCCTTAAAAATCTTTTCCCAATCAATAAAATTCATCATGGCGTCGTTGCAATGGGACACCAAGAATGCCATCGCCGGAAAGACGCAATGGTGGAAAGATGCGACAGTATACCAAGTATACCCAGCTAGCTTCAAGGACTCAAACGGGGATGGTTGGGGCGATCTGCCTGGACTCATATCCAAAATTGACCACCTACAAGACCTGGGAGTCGACGTGGTCTGGGTGTCCCCCATTTTCGAAAGCCCTCAAAAGGACATGGGATACGACGTGTCTGACTACCAAGCTATATATGCACCATATGGCACTGTCGATGACGTTGACGCCCTTGTCGCCGAATGTCACTCAAGAAACATCAAGGTCATTCTAGACTTGGTTGTCAACCATACTTCGACTGAACACAAGTGGTTTAAAGAGTCCCGGTCATCAATGGACAACCCCAAACGTGACTGGTACATTTGGAAGCCGGCACGATACGATGCAAACGGACTCCGGCATCCGCCAACAAATTGGAGGGGTTATTTTGCGGGTTCAACTTGGACCTGGGACGAGGAAACATCGCAGTACTATCTACATCTCTACGCACCAGACCAGCCTGACTTGAACTGGGAAAACGCCGCCTGCCGTGAAGCGATCTATGAGAACGCCCTGAAGTTCTGGCTAGAACGGGGTGTCGATGGTTTCCGCATCGACACGGTCAACAAGTACTCTAAACGGCAAGACTTCGTTGACGCACCCGTCACGGATCCCCAATCTCCACATCAGCCGGCACCCGAGATGTGGTGCAATGGTCCGCGCATTCACGAGTTTATACACGAAATGTATCAGAAGGTGCTCGGCCCCTACAACGCTCTCTCAGTCGGTGAACTCTCCAACACGCCACAGCCTTCCCAGGTGATCCCATATGTCTCAGCTGCCGCCAAAGAGCTTGATATGGTGTTTGAGTTTTCAGTCATTCGGTTGGGGACTGGCAATGGGTTCGGTGCCAAGTACGAATACCGGCCATACGCGCTGTCAAAGCTCAAATCTCTGACGGAGACATGGCAGGCATTTATTGAAGGGACAGATGCTTGGACGACAGTCTTTTGCGAGAACCACGACAACGGCCGGGCAATTAGCCGTTTCGGCGATAGTTCTACACCTGAGGCGTGGCTCCAGTCTGGCAAGGCAATTGCACTCTGGCAGACTACCATGACCGGCACATTATTTTTGTACCAGGGCCAGGAGATTGGCATGGTCAACATGCCGGCGACGTGGGGAATGGAAGAGTACAAGGACTTAGAGAGCCGGAACTTTTACTTTGAGGCGGCTGACTCTGGTGACCAATCTCGCCTTGAGCGAACGATGAAGGGACTTCAGATCCTGGCTCGCGATCACTCTCGGATACCATTCCAGTGGGACGACTCTCCAAATGCAGGCTTCACTACGGGGGACGCGAAGCCTTGGATGCGAGTGCATGACAATTTCCGTACCATCAACGCCGCCAAGCAGGCAAGTGATCCTAACTCCATCCTTAGCTTTTACAAGGACGCCTTGCAGCTACGGAAGGAACACAGTGATGTGTTCATCCACGGGAGCTTTAAGCTTGTGGATCCCGAGGACGAATTTGTTTTTGCCTACCTTAAAGAGGGCTCCATCACGGAAACTGGCCGCCGAAAGGCCATTGTCGTGCTCAACTTGTCCCGAGAAGCCAGACCGTGTGCTGACATTTCGAGGGCTTTGAAGTGCAGAGTGGACGAAGTGCGTCTTGCAGTCGGAACAAGGGAATTGGTAAACGACCAATCGCAATTGTTGGCGCCTTGGGAGGGGAGGGTCTACACCAATTACTAGATTCAAAGTGTAGAGTCACTTTTCTGTTTTATTCAAGTAAGGGGTATAACTATGGACATTTAGGTCTAGTATTAGCTAGTATAATAGATAGAAGATTATTGTTATTTCTACCTACTAAATATCATAAACACAATAAGGAGACACAAGGCGGTCGGAGGGAATAGGCTAGGAGGAGACCTAACGGGCGCCTATAGTATGCTGAAAAGGGACAGGAGGTCACATAATCCGGATCACGGCCTACTATAATCTAGTGAACCTAGAAAGGATCACTAGGGAGAGTGAACTAGTGATCTAGAGGATATATGTTACAGGTGGGGCTGAGTAAGTCGGGCCAAGGTCAGACACACCAGTGCCCAGAATAGGACGCAAGGTCACGTGACCGCGCGAGGTGATCGATGGATCGCTCATCGATCACCAAGATCAAAGGATTGGATAGATGAATGATCAAGCTATCCAGATAGCACAGTAGAGGATAGGATGGATATGTAAGGAAGGGGATTTCTAGCAGATAGCCAGACTAGATCTCTACTGATCAATCTAAGCAATAGCTCTACTATTGGGAGACATCTCCATCTCCTAACGTGACTTACGCTACGATAACTGCTCGCTCGCACTCTGTGCTTTCAACCCGACTCACTTCCTAAGAAGAGCACATACACACACCCTCAATCAAGCCAGGAAGAGACTGCGCCAGAGAGCTCTCCTAATTCCCGGCCATATCGGCCCGGCGCCGCAACAAAACAAGCTAGCCGGAAGACTGCATGTCGCACGACATGTCGCAAAACCAACAGCGGCGGATACAAGCTAGCCACTGCGGCGCGTGCGACATGATAGCAACATGTGGAGCTTCAGATTGGCAGCCACTACTTGCCTTGTCGTGGCGGGCGGCAGTGGGACCGATGCCAGACTTTCCCGCTCGTCGCTAAACCTCTAGTGCAACGCTCGTGCCCCTCAGCCTCGAACCCCGCCATCGAGCACCAACGCAATCCCTTCTTCTTCGCAGCTTTCAATATACATGTCACCATGGCTAATGCAAACCTAAAAAGCCTGACGGATGTCTTTGTGTCTGTGGTTGCGGAGAATATTGTTTCGTACCTCGCACTGACGGACCTTATCGCTCTTCAGGGGGTTTGTCGAATGCTCCGTGCGTCGGTGCAGAGCCGGCTGGACTACCGATTCAACATCAACATCTTCCTAAAAGACTTCATAGAAGATGCAACAGCTTTTAGGTGCGAGCTTGGCAAAGCAGATGCCCTGATCATTCGCGATTCGGCTTTAAACTTCCTAGAGAATCAACATAGGCAGTTTAAGCAACTCGACCTGCTAGTGCAAGTTGGGCGAAAAGCAGACACTCTCATAAACTACCTGTGTGTCGAGGAATCATACTTTACCTTGCCAGAGCACCCAGGAACTGCGCAGCTTCATGGCCATGCATCTGCCCTATCAGAACGTACCATAAAGCTGGGTAAGATGTCGTTCGAGGAGATACACGTCACGACTACAACCAGCTTTCCCATCCATGCGCTACTCAATACATGTTTTATGACGACCGAACTAAACTTCGCCACTTGGAACAAAGTCTTTTCGCTTTTTCCGGAAGCAACACTTGCAAGACACAAGACCTACGTCCTCCGCGAATTGGACGATGATTTTGGCACTCGTCTTGCACAGTTTGCTCATCAAGGCTGGACAACGCGTGACATGCTATGGTTGAAATTGGCGGCGCACAAACCCTGCGGCGTTGGTTCACGACGAGTGGGGGACACATACTCTGTGTCAATATCAGTTACGCCGCTTATCGAATCAGCGGAAATGACGCCTGACTTTGTCGTCGAGCACGCTGCGTTTGATGTATTGACCGAGGAAACGACTATAACGAAGAGGAGATCTGTTCCCCAATACACGTGTAGCGAGATGTCTATTTACATACGGAAGCTGGAATCATTGGCGCTTCGTCATCATTTCACTGTTGGGCAGAGCAACTCCGACTCCTGGTCGAAGTTTGTCAACGAACGACTGGAACGCTGGGCCAAAATCGAGCTACTCAAAATCCCGCGCACGACTCGTGGCTTCGACGTTCATGGCCCTTCTGTGCCTATGGGACGCATTTTCCGGCGACCTAAGGGCTGGGATTATGCAGATGACCAGCTCCCTGTCTGGTACAGGAATTTCCAGGAAGTCAGACAGGCGGAAGAGAAGCACTCTAGTGGACAAGCACATACTTGCTGGTAATCCGAGGAGCAGACTGATCGTATGCACGGCTTGCATCACTAGAATGGTCCCTATTTATACTTTCTGAGCTTCTCAATTAGCCGAGAGCAATCATAGCTGTACGTTGCCTACTCGTATCCTGTGACCTTTGACATGCATACAGTCGGCGTTGAAGTGAGGAATCTGCAGGTTCACTTTTCAACTGCTTCCATAGGTAGTCTTCGCAGGTTTTACTCTCATCAGTAAGACGACAGATCAACCGTACGCTAGTCAGCACAACACCCAACACGTCCGTGATCGACTGCATCGGCGCGACAGCAGCAGATTCTTCGCAGGCCTGTTTCCGAGAATTCCAGAAGATTGGGGACAAACACCCATACCTGAGCTCAGTCAAATGGTCACCCGGGAGTTCCACTGTCTTGCCTAGGTGGCAGGTGGCGAGGATCGGGAAGTTGGAGCAAGTTAATGAGCCAAGCCGCACCTTCCCTTTCTTAGGATGCCATGCTTTTCACTAAGGTGTTAAGATACACGGTCGTCTTATCGTAGAGTCGCTAGCTCTCTTCACTAATAACCTAGGATCACGCGTATAGAATAGGTCTCTTAGGCTAGTAAGTAGTTTATATAAAAGTAGAAAGTGTATAAAATATAATAGACTAAGGCTAGAAGAGGCTTAGTTAGAACTTTTATTATAATCTATTAATCTTAGGAGCTTTATATTATAAACACTATTATATATATATAGGGCTAAGTAAAGTGAACTAGAGTTTAATACACTAGTGCTTAAAAAAATAGGAGGTTATATAATATTATTAGGATTAAAAACTTAAACTATTAACCTATTAATCTAAGAATAGAATCTAAAGGATTAAAGGTTAAGCCTTTTAGTCTAGAGTTATAATAAAAAGATAAATAAGTACTTAAGTATAATAGTAGCTTAATCCTAATCTATAGTTAGTCTATTTCTTAAGTAGAGAGTTAGTTTAAATATATAGAGTGTATATAAGTAGTTATTATAGTATAAGTTATATTAGGAGATATCTCCTAATAGTAGAGCTATTACTTAGATTAATTAGTAAAGATCTAGTCTAACTATCTACTAAGAATCCCCTTCCTTATATATCCATCCTATCCTCTACTATATTCCTAGGATTACTCTAGATTACTAGTAATCCTTATAATCTAATACTTATAGGATTACTACTAGCTTACTATAATCCTTAGTGATCTAGTCATATAACCTTATATTCTAATCGGGCGACTAGTAGGTTCCACCTAGTCGCTTCCTTAGGCTGCCTACCTTATGTATATTCTTAATTTATAATATTAAGGAGGAAGTATTCTTATAACTAAGTAGTTTAAATCTCTACTAATTAATCTAAATAATAACTCTACTATTAAGAGATTTCTTTTAATATAATTTATACTATAATAACTACTACTTATTAGTTTTTAAACTAACTCTATTTTTAAAATATAAACTAACTATAAATTAAAATTAAACTATTATTATATTTTAATTAGTTCTATTTAATAAGTTACTTTTAAAATTATAAATAATTAACCTTTATAATATTTACTATTAATAGTAGAATAATTAACTAAAATTAAATTATAGTATAAATAAAAAAGTAAATTAATATATTTACTATTTAAATCTAAACTATAAAGAATACTAATAATAGAAGTTATACTCTACTAAAGTTTTTTAAACTTAATTTATTTAATAGAACTAAAAAGGATATTTAAAACTTCTTAAATTTAAATAAAAGCCTATTTCTATATAAATACTATTATTATTAACCCTATAGTATAAATACTTTATATAAAAAACCTGTTTATAAAAAGAATAATAAAGTAATAAGAATTTAATAAACTATTAATATACTTTTAGTAATTAATTATAAGATATTTAGTATAATCTCTTATAAAAAAGCTCTTTTAGTATACTATTTAAATATATTTTAAACTTTATTTTATAATTAAACCTTAACTATATTAAAAGTAGATTAATTATTTTTTCTTTTATAAAGAGGTTTTTAAACTTATTATACTATTCTAGAAAGTACTATTCTTTTACTAGAGTATAATATAGTATAGTATTAATTTTATATAAGCTTATTATTATTATCTTTATTTTAATATTAGTTATATAGAACTTATCTTTTAATACTTTATAAAATCTCCTCTTTATAAATAAAGTAAAGTAAAGTATTAAACTATATTACTATTATATATAAATATATTAATTAGACTTATTCTTTAAGTAGAGATATTCTACTTCTATATTAATAATTAAATAGTACTATTATAGTTAAAGTAGCCTTAAGATTATTAAATAAGAGAAGACTAGAATAATATAGAGTAGTATAAAGAACTACTAACTATTTATATTAATATATATTTATACTATCTTTATTATAATAAAAAGTAGTTTATTTTTTATTATAAAGTAAATCTATTTTAGTAAAAAGATAGTAATCTATTTTAATTATAATAAGTCTACTAATCTCTCTTATATTACTCTTTAAATGCAAGATGCGCTGCTGAAGCCACCAAATCTGGCGGGTTCTGCCGCTGTTTTTAGCGGCAACAGCAGTGAGGGAACTCACGCTCTAGGCCCACCCCCGTCAGGTACTGTGTACCTCGGGCGGTCTTGGCTACACAACCAGCCCATTCCCGCCCCCACCACAAGAGCCTACTTCGTCAATTCTCGTTTCCTGTTGTTCGTTGGCTATTGTCCTATTCTTGCCATCCACGTATTGTGGCGGCCTTTACCACCAGAATGGCAGGCATAGTATATAGAGCGGCGGCGCCTCGCCTTGCCTCCCTTCACCTTCACCCCAAGTCCGTCGTGGCCTCCAACCCAGGCCACCTCCGCCCAGATCAATAGAAACGATCCTTCCACGATGCCAAGCGCCGTCGCCTGCACACATCATGCAAACGCTCCAAATAACCACCACCTCGACTTCCTCCAGTTTCAAAGGGCCAAGCAGCTTGAAAGAGCACCGAAGCCCGCGCCGCTCTCGGCCGAGCAGCATGCCGCGAACCGGGAGTGTCTCAGCACCGTCCGATTCGTGAAGCCCAAGTACTCCGCTGAAACAGAGATCAACGTCTCCGGCATCTTTGGAAGATGGAAACGGTATGCTATGATCGCCTAAGGCCCCATCTTGGAGCCTACTACTAATGTCGGTGCAGATACTGCATTGAGAAGAAGGTCGGCGACTGGCGAGCGACGATTGTTAATCTGACCCGTGCCACTACGATGGACTTTTTTCTCTTCGTCTGCGGAAACTACAAGGTCCGGTCGTGGGGTACGTCAGAAGAGTATATTCGCCAATTTCAGCAGCTCTACACGACGATTACAGGGCGTTACATGGATAGAAATGATGCCAAGGAAGTCTACAAGGTATCGAAGCCCACTGAGCCGGAGCTCCCAGTCATGCATGTTGACCACAGTATAGTACCACCGCAATATTCTGATACCTCGCTTCAGTCTCCGACCGCCGAATATCGACGGCAAGCCAGTCCTCAATGTCGATAGTCTCCGCGTCATCCTCACCTTCAACATTGCGTACGACACGAGCGCATTCAGCCTTGGGCGTCATCGAATCCAGTTGGCCGGCTGCTACCAGCTCCTGTGTTACACTGGGGCGCGACCTTCAGAGTTGGTGGACAACGAGAGAAAAGACCCGAAAGACGGCTCCAGAGAATTACTCTTTGGCCAGAAGCTCATACAGGAAGTGGAGAGCGATGGTAGCTCGGATCAGACGCTAGACAAGCAGTCCAAGGAGCTCAACAAGATGCTCCTACGAGAGACAGTCAAGAGAGGCCGTCCTAAAGCTCTCTGCTATGAGGACATTCTTTTGATGCTTGTGCGGCACCCTGCTACGGGGAAGCCTGTACTGGCCATGGCCATCAAATTTGTCCACCACAAAGGAGCAGACAACAAGCCGAAGCCGTGTGTTCTACCTCATATGTCACTCCACTACCGTCTGGCAGCTGCTAATTGCGAAATATCAGGACAATCTTTTTCTTCACGCCCACAAGGAAGCTAATATTTGACGCGATCATGGTCATCGTGGCATTGGCCCTACATGACCATGCGTTCGATGCGGCTTGCCTAACCGATGCGTATAGCCTCCTGTCGAGGAATGTTTGGGGTCCCCGAGATTGCATGCCAATCCGCTGGAAGAAAGGGAAATTGAAAGTCCCCGTTTTTCGCCGCATCAACGGTGCGACGCTGTCTGAAGACGAGGCGATGCTCTACTCTAAGCTGAATTATGACATGGGCCGACAGAGCCTCGAATCCGGCCACGAGAAGGCTTGGAAGGCTTGGACGCCTAGATTTTGCTCGGAGAGGTGCTTCGAACGCCGCAAATGGTATGCCCGAGCTCACAAATGCCACCGAAATCTTCTATGCTAAAACTTATGTTACTAGGTGATGCACCGGATTCGGTCCGCGATCAGATGATGCGGCATGAGCCTGGGTTCAAAACATTTTTCAGTGCGTATCTGAACGAGATTGCCAACTTCGATCTCCAGAATGCCTTCTTGGAGGAGGAAAAGCAAAGCCAATTGTTCCGCATGTTTGCACATGTAAGCTTGACCCGCGACCCTCGTGCCGTAAGGGATATGGTCCCTGAGAAGGTATGGGCGAATCAGCCGCCTGACCCTGATATTCTGATGTGGGAGGAGGAGCGTGCGATGCTTAAGCAGGGACGGTATCGAATTGCTGGTAGTGAGCATGAAGACAGAATTCGAGTACTCACAGACGACATCAGAAATAAGAGGACACAGAACGAAAGGAGGGTTGTGAAAGAATATCGCGAATACTATTTCTACAACCGTCCCACTTGGGACATTGAGGCCCAAGCCCGTGGGGAGGTGGAAGAGGAATATGAGCAGCCCGCAATGGACCTCGTCATACCGGAACGGGCAAGATTAGCCAACATTCTGTGTCTGCAACCTGACGACTGGACGGAAACGGAGCTGTTCCAACGCAGAGTTGAGGCCATCGACTTGATGGTGGCTTTATGCGATAAGAAGGAAACTGGCAGAACAAGCCGCACGCAACGCCCAGCCATGGTCGAGACTTTGGTCGAGCAAGAGTCACCTGAAAGCGACACATTAGTTGAGCCGAATCTTGAGCCAGACCCTTTCCCACTTCTTATGGAGGCAACACAGTGCCCAGACTGCATTGGTGACGAGCAGCTGTCGGTTGAGGCGCGAAATTTCAAGTGGTGCCGTCCGCCAGTACTCAACGACCACTTTGACGACGCGCACTTGGCCCCCCGAGAGTCAGCTGCGCAGCGTGGTGAGGCAATTTGGTGCGGCCATCCGAGATGCAGACACGAGAAGTTTGTCCATGTGGATCATTTCCGAAGCCACGTTGAACAAGTCCATGGGGTAAGTCTCAGGACATCGGACCAGGTCGCAAAGAGGAGGCAACGACAGGCAGAGCGACGTGAAAAGAAATGTCGAGGACGGCAGCAGAAGAAGGCCGCCGCAAAGGCCGCCGCGAAGACCTGATCCTCCAGCTGTTTATACTGTGCTTGTATCCGAATTCTAGATTTCAATTGCAATATCATCAATAGTTGGCCTATGAATTCCTCTCTGCCTTGCTCGTAGCTCCTGGCCTAATCTGATGGGTAGCTAACTGGTTAGAACGCTCCGCATCCTCTCCCCGCAATGCTTTTTTGTTCCGGAGAGCGAAGCGAGGCTCGCTGAACGTCGCTGATTGTGTATTGTGGCGATGAAATGAGACGCAGAAGTGCGAGCGCATTGTGAGAAGTCTTACTAGGTCGCCGCTGCAGCCCAGCAGGTTGCCGCCCGTCGATGGCTAGTCCCGGCGCATTGCAAGATCTCGTCCTTCGTCGCGAACACTGAGCCCCCGTTTACCGCAAGCAGTTCTCGACCCTGGCCAACTGTGGGTGACGGGCAAATTGACGACTCCTCCATGTATTTAAATGAACCTTGCTTAAGATCGCAGTCAATTTTAAAAGAAGATCCTCATCTCGCAGGTTCCGGATACTGTATTGGAGGGTAGTCCAGGCAAATGCCTCGACCGATTTTCTCATGACTACGAAGGCGGATGACACGTCGCGCTCATCCAGTTTCGAACATCTGCCATGTATCTCACCATGCTTAAATATTCGAAGCCATCTACCCGCGAATAATGCTCGGCTTCTAGTAGAGCAGGTCCGTAGCCAGAGGACCAGACACGTCGTTTTAGCTCATCAGGGTATGTGGGTGTGGAGACAGCAACCATTGTGCTAGTCCCCAGCGTTTACATGGTAGGGAGGAAAGAGAAAACAAACTAAACGATTGAGCCCAGCTGGCAGCATGAACGCAGAGAATAAAATAGCAACTCGGGTCGTATTCATCTCCGCCCACAATTCTTCTAGCGCAGAATACCACTTCAACGAGCCAGAGCGTAGCAGGCAGCAACTCTGTAGCTCGGCTCCGTTCAACGGTTGCGCAGGCCTCATCTCATTCATCTTTGTTCCAAGCCACCGAAGTTCGTAGCGAAATGAGTACGCACAGCCCCCGATCCGCACCAATCTCTAGCACGGTCAGTACACCCTCTTCGGAGTTTCCAGACCGAGTCACAGACAGGGGTCCCAGCCAGAGTGATAGCCTCGTCAAGCAGCAGCGCGTGTACGGAGGTCGATGCAGGCAAAAGTTCCGTCAGACCAGCCTCAAACTCGCCTCCAGGCACTATTGGAACCAATGACATCTCGTAATGGGCCCTGTCACGGTAACTTTGACTGCCTGCGCAACGCCACAAGCACACCATGGTATCACGGGCGCTTCGCCGTGAGCGATTACAAATATACCGTTTTCGCACCTTGCCAGGCCAGCCCCGCATGACTCTATTGATATTGGATTTCCGTTACAGTTCACATTTTTTCTACGCGTCTCATCGGTTTTCATCTTTCAATCCTGCCTATCTCAACATGTCTGCTGGAAGAGAATATTGGCCCACAATTCTCGACAAGGGCAACAGCGCAGTCTCTGCCAATCGCGCCACCACTGCCTACCCAGGAGCGCCGGCAGGCGATGGCAGATGCGAGCCGGCGGCCTTTGAACCCCAAAGCACCCTGTCGAATGTACCTCTTAGCGACAAGAAATCTGCTCAGGCAAGCGCGAATACACCAACAAGAACCCCACTGAGCATACCGGTAACTCCTCCGAGTGAGAACATACAAAGCGCATTTGAGCATTGTTTTCCCTTTGATCCGACGATTCAAGTTGCAGCTTTCGCTATTCAGGGAAATGCAACCATTTCCTACCAATCGGTAGACCCAGTGATAGAGCGCCGCTTATATGCAGTGGAAGCGTCCGTTGCCAATTTGAAATCAGCAGTTCGTCGAGCCTTGCGAAACAACAGGCGAAGTTCAAGCAAGAAAAAGATGTCCTGCATCGTCGAGGACGACGACAGCTCCAGCTCCTGCACTGCCGGTAGTGACAGCTGCAGCAATAGCAGCAGCTACGACGACAGCAGCGGCCACGGTGACAGCCGCGGCTACGGTGACAGCAGCAGCTACGGTGACAGCAGCAGCTACGGTGACAGCAGCAGCTACAGCAGCAGCTACGGTGACAGCAGCAGCTACGACGGCAGCAGCGGCTACGGCGACGGCGGCAGTGACAGTGATGACGATGAGTATGATGACCACGGAAGCTCTAGCAATGGTGAGAACGGTGGCCATAGCAAAAATCACGAGACGGGCCGCTCGCCTTCACCAAACGGTTTTGACAATGGCCATGCCGACGACCGTCTCAATTATGCGGAGGAGAACCCTCCTAGACTGCACAAACGCCAGAAACTCGCCGACGCTCCGATATGCATATCGGCGGCCAACGGGATTGCCTAGCAGGATTCCAGTGGACGCCATGGAGAGATTTCTGTCAGTGGCCTTGACCTCCCACAATCCTTGCATGCTGGCGTCCGAAGCGACCACAAATATAACGCAAGGGGTTGCAAAAATCGTCACGTCGTTATCCCTCTAGTAGTAATCATCGGCTATCCCGCCTTGGGAATATCGCAGCTGGTCGTGGAGTATCGAAGAGAGAATTTTGGCTTCGCGGTATAGCTGAAGCTCTAGCGCGGCCAAACGATATAAAATGAGATTTGTCCGAGTTGGAGTCGCACAACGAGAGTGTGTAAGGTGGGGAGAAGTTGTGCCTAGGGCTGCGATATGTGAGTCATATCTGCCTGAGCAAGGCACCTGGAGTTGTGACGTCGATAGCGCAGGTAGATTAAATCAGGGAGCAACAAGAATGGATCTGTTGTCTTTTCGGACTTTTCCCCGGCTTGTATAATCAGGCATCACAACATGGGAAGTACTCCAACGCGACCGACTCGATATATGTGCGCATTTTGCGACATCCCCAATGCGGGCGAGCCCATGACGTGCTAGGAAACAAAAAAGGGAACTTTGTGCATCTCCTCTTGCGATGTTTCTGTAGTCGTTATGGCCACCAGAAAGCGAAGCTTGTAGCAGGTCTAAGCCGCTGCCGGTGACCTCTTCTACGGCAGCCCTCTCGGGCAACCCCGCTGGGCGGCGATGTGAATATCAGAGCTCACGGTCAATGAGATAGCCGAAGCACGATCGGATTTGAAGATGTACTATCACGGATGCGAAACGCGAAAATTGTGCCACGCAAGGGCGCGCCAAATGTCCAGTGTCAAGACCTGTTGAAGGGTAGCGGTAGCCAACCCAGTAGCTGCCGTGGTGTGATGGACAATTCGAAGCAAAAGGCCCTTCAGACGAGACATCGGACCAGGTCGCAAAGAGGAGGCAACGACAGGCAGAGCGCCGTGAAAAGAAATGTCGAGGACAGCAGCAGAAGACCGCCGCGAAGGCCGCCGCGAAAACGTGATCACCCAGCTGTTTGTACTGTGCTTGTATCAAATAATTCTAGAGTCAACTTGTAGTATCGCCGATAGTTGGCCTGTAAATTCCTCTGTGCCTTGCTTAGTACCCTAATCTAATGGGTAGCTAACTGATTAGACGCTCTGTCATCCTCTCCCCGCAATGCTTTTTTGTCTAGCTAGGTTAGCAGGTTTCGCCCGTCGATTAGCTAGTCCCAACGCATTGAGAGCACGAGCTCTTAGCAGCGACCGTGATAGGCCGGCTCATTACTAACCTTTAGGACTATGATGGGTTAGTTACAGATGGGACAGCGTACTGAAGGTTTCCCACTTTCCGGACGACTGACGTTCTCAAGACGTCTCGTGGCCAGTGCAAAACGTGGTGCATCTGATGGTTAAAAAGAAGGAAATGTTTCCTCTCTGAATTTCAGTACACTGATTGTGAGCGTCCCATCTTAGGCGTCCGTGTAGCTATGCCTGTGTCCCGCGCGTTACTTTGCGATTTTCAGGCATCAACTTCCACACTACTGACCGCCTTCCTCGTCCTCGCCTTACACCTTCGTTGCGCACACCGCCTGCCATATCGGGAACATTCGACAACTCTTGCACCGTCTAATCACCGCTTTCATCGCCATCCCACTGAGCTTTCACCGCCTGCCTTGCCGGTAAAAGAGCCCCCGCCGTGCTCCCTCACCACCTGCCTTTGGAGGATTGTGTGGTAGACGAATAGGAAGACAGCAAGGCGGCCTATTATGCAGCCGCAAGACTAAGGAGTGTGACACACGAGATGACATGACTGATTCAGAAGAGATCGGACTGATTCAAACTAAGACATAGTTTGACTATTGGGAGTGACCAACGTGACTTACGCTACGATACTGTTCAAGCATATAGTCGTGCATTCGACCTGACTCATTTCCCAAGGAACAGACCACACAGTGGATTACAAACGACAAGAGAGACAGCACCTACCATAAGAAGCGTGTCCGTGGCCCGGCGCTCCACCGCCTACTCTTTACAGACATGCTGGCCCTTGAGTGTCCACCGCCTTCTTTTCTCTCTTTGACGAGGCATTGATAACCACACCGCCCACAGACTCTGCTTCACCGCCTGCTCTCTGTAACGGTCTTGCTGCGTCGCTGTATTCACCGCCTGCCATTTTGGCGGTCGTTTTGGGAGCCGTCAGGCGCCGTTGCGTTACCGCCTTCCCTAATGGTCCGCAGGCTTCCTTCATTCCTCCACCTCAAGTCCCGCTTCGCCTTTCACCGCCTATCACTTTGAACTGTTCTCGCTTCCACTGCATTGCGTTTTGTAGCGCTTGTGTAGCATCGTTGCATCGTTGCCTCGCTGCATTTACCTACCGTCTGCCACTTTAGGAGCTCAAGGCATCGTTACTCTACCGCCTTCCTCTCCTAGTCTACGGTCTCTCATTCAATCCCACCGCCTACTGCTTATACGTGAGAGTGTCCACGTCTGTCACTCACCGCCTGCCATGCTGAGCTGTGAGCCCTTTACCATTGGCAGCCTACCCTTTGCGCATCACCTAGCTCTACTACCTTGCTTACCAGTCCTCTAATGGCGCCCGTGGTACCTGGCTAAAATGGCTGTTATACATAAAGCTGGTTTTTAGCTTCTTCTTCTTGTTCTTTTTTTTGGCACCTACCCTTCCACGCATCTGAATAATCTGCCTGCTACGACAGTCCATGGCCCAATCACGTGTTAGATGTAGCTTTGCACGGATCCTTTCGTAAGATGCTTCGCCCTACTAGGCTGGTAAAATACCAATGCCAGGCCTCTCTGGTGCCGCTGTTCAGCTACATTCAAGATAACAATGCCCCGGTGTGGTTGACGAGGAAAAGACAAGTCAGCCCACTCGGTAGGCCAGAACCAGAAATGGAAGCAAATATGCCAGCCAGAAATGGAAAGCGCAGACACAAGTGGAAGAGCAGCATATCCACCTAAGTTTTTTTAAGGAAGTGCTAGATCTGGCCTTTCATCGGTGTACTGAAGTTGAATCCTTAGAGTGTCCGTTTCTGCCGTCTGTTTTTGATATTTCGACGGTGGCATGATCTGGCGCAACGATTTCTGGTGATTTGCTAGTGGCGTCTGACCAGTTTCTCTCGCGCCGGGCTTGTCCACGTTTTCGCCAGCCCTTTTGCGGCTTTCTATTGAATAAAAATATTGTACTGTAGGTATTACAGAGAAGGGCGAAACAAATGTCACAGTTTTAGTTAACATGAATAATAGTGGCAGCCATTTTAGCCTGTGACGTAGCGCCGCCTGATATCCACCAGGTACCCGAAACTTTTTCGTGGGGTAAATGTGCGATTAAACTCAGCCGTTAGTTTGCCATATATGCACCAGTTGTTGCTCTGTTACGACAAAATTACCTTTCGGCGATGGAGTGGAAATCCCCTTCCTATCCTGAGCTTTTCTCTGCCTAGAAATACGGCATTCAATCAGATTCTGCCCATGTAGTCTCATTCTTGCCTGAGGAAAAAAAATTGTACAGGGTACCAGATAACTCTAGCGGCCAGATCGAGATCCACCATTTCGTTAAAAGTTAACTACAAAAGAGTGACACTTGAAACGCCTTTCTCTGTACCGGTAATATAACATTAATACTTAACTGCCCAATTTATTGCTGTGTTTTCTCGACCAACTGCCACTTTCTGATTTGTCCATTCTGATTGGTCCCATACTCAGGCTTTAGCATCCATGATGGATGGTCAGGCAGCTGCGCTCGACATCCGTAAATAACTGTTTTCTGAAACAGCACAAAAAAAAGGAAAGAAAGCATCTACATGATGCATTTAGTTCTATGCACACTGTTACAGTACTACACCTCTTTATTGGTTTGAACATCGTCGGCCGTTTTCGCAATGTAGTCTCCGTGCGTTTGTGGGTGGATATGTTAGAATGGAGCTGAGTAATAAGCTGGCCCTAAAAGGAAACTAACGATCGGACATCTCCAATCTGCGCGTGCCATTTTCACGAACACAACTCTCGTTCGCCAGCCAACGACATTCACCAAGTCTCGAAGATAGTCTCTGATTGCGAGTTGGGTCATGAACTCAAAAAAGCGAAAGCGCTCGCAAGCCACAGAGGTCGAGCGCGCCGACTGCCCGTTCGAACTTCGCGTTGCCTTGTTGCCTGCAGCGCATAGAGCGAAGGATGGAAAGCTCTCGCGAGTTAAGAGTAAATCAACCAAGAAGAAGGGAAACTCGACCATTAGTGAGGAGGTGAAGCCGTTGTTTCAACCGTCCCTGTTTGAGCCGACTGGCAAATTTCGCCCCAACGCGACAATGGAAGTTTACTACCACATCGAACCACGAAAGGACTGGACTGGCATGACTGAGTATCATAGCTTCGTTTGTAAGCCCTAATCTCACGCTATCGGTGCATTATTATATGCTATGGTAACTAATGCCGCGTATCGCAGTAAATAGTGAGAAATATCTACGTGGTGAGTTTGTTTTTGTGGCCAATGATAATTGTATAGCGCGGGGTAAGCGGGGGGAAGATCTGAACACGCAGGTTGGATCATGCAATGTCTGGGTTGCACAGATCCTCGAAATTCGGGCTCTGGACGAGCGCCACGTTTACACACGCGTTTGCTGGATGTACTCCCCCGATGAGCTGCCTGTAGGGCGGCAGCCGCACCATGGCAAAAACGAGCTCATTGCCTCAAATCACCGTAAGTGGGCGTTGATAGCAACAAATGCCGTTGCGCTAACTTATACAGTGGATATTATCAATGTTTTGAGCGTGGTCCGCCATGCTAAAGTCAGCCAATGGATCGAGGCGGACGATGATGAAATCATGGATGGCTTGTATTGGCGCCAAGCGTTCGACTGCTGCACATCACAGCTGTCGGTATGTACAGGCAAAAAAAGGACGAGCGACATGAAGAATCTTTACTGACCGGCCTAGACTATCAATCTCCTTTGCAGATGTCAATTACCCGCCAATCCTGACAAAATGCTCGTCCGCTGCAGC